GTTCAGTTAGGATGCAGCAGCAGAACTAGTAAGGATCCACGGGTTCTGAGCGAGAATATCTCAGACTGACGGGATTTCCACACAGTACAGACAGTACAGTACAGACAGTACCCTTATTCAGCGGGTCCTGCAGGATCTGCTCATCAGCAGGCTTGAGCGACTCTTAGAGCTTTCTCTCCACTCAGATCTTTAATGAGGAAGTTGGAAGACATATTCACTTCTGTTACCAGATCCGCTTAGAATCTACAGTACACCTTCTTCTTAAACTGTTGTTTCTTTGTACGTATTTGCTAACAGAACAACAACGACAACAACCGTAATTATACTTTAAAGACGTTTCATTGCTCTGTAGACGCTGAAGCGTTTCTCGTTGCGAAGTTTACCGTATCAAAACGAAAGTTTCTCTTGTCAGAAAGTGCCAAGGTTCATGAACAACAAAAAAAAAAAAAAAAAAAAAATCAGTTGACAGGTTAGATGCAGAAATTTGGAGAGAATGAAACAGCATTTTTAATAATATAAAACGTCAACACATATTTATCCCAACTATTTGTTTTTGACCCTCAAGCAATGTAATTTTCCGCAGCACGTTATTTTATTACACATTGCCTTGTCTGGCTTGCTTTGTGTCGGCTGTATTAATGGTCTTAGCCTAAATTTGCCAAGTGTCTAAATATTTCGTAAATTATATCTTATGATGGAGTTCATTGTCATGCTCTTAAATATAACTAAGGAGGCAATTTCACATCTTTTGACAGCTACCTAAATTAATATTAATATTTAGTCTGCAGAACCACTTCAAAGACATTTCTCGTGGTCAAATGCCAGGGTGAAAGATTATTCAATTTTAGGTTTTAAAATTTTAATTTAATTTAAATAATGTAACTGATCACTTTTAAAGAAAAATGTTACCTAAACCTGAAATCTGTAATCCTGATACTATACAGCATTTTGATGGTCGGTGAGTCCTGTTCATATATCTGGGAATTGATCGAATTCGGTATGGGCAGTGAAACATACAGGAGTAATGTTGACAGCACATTGTTCATTCCGACTGCTATTGTCAATTACCATTTAAATGGAGTAAACAGACAGTTATAGTGGAAAGAGATCTTCTCACTGCGTCTGTTAAGCATTTGAGACATTATTAAGGACATTAGATGCTGCCACACCAGTGTCCACTGCAATGTCACACAGACCCAATTGTGACACAGATATGACCTCAGTTCTAGAATGTTATCATCTCCAGATCATCGCAGCATCATTTTACTGTTAGGTGCAACAATTCCTGGAGAAATATGAAAGTTTGATAAAGCAGCAAGGGATGGGCTGTAGTGTTTCCAAATTAAAGGTAAGACTGGTTTACTTTAGAGGATTGTAAGAAGGATGTATTAGTATTCTAGGTTTACTTACTCCCTTTATCTTTTTAAGCAGAGATCAAAAGATAGAGGGTAGGTAAAGCTTGAAAGAAGAGACTCATATGAATGCACCTGATGCTATTTTTAACACAGTGAAGCCCGTTTCTGTAGAGAAACTACAGAAGAAAATATTTAATGAGGATTATATTATAGTGGATAATAATAAGAGAAGAAAAGCCATGTTGCATTTAAATAAAAAAATTCGACATCTAATGGCATTTAAATTTATGTGATCTGAGCCTAGTGTATATTCTTTAGCATTTCATACACTTAGAATCTAAAAATAATTACTTCAGTTAAGTGTTTAATTTGTTACTTCTCTGTTCACTTAACAAAATTAGGAGGATACATAAACCAAATATATGACCGCCTCTGTTTATATATTTAAAGTTAATGCTCAGGCCTACTTTGTTTTTCTAGCAAACATGTTATTTTAAATATCCAGCATAACCAATTTATCTCTTTACTTCTACAGTAGGGAAAGTGTTGGCTACAGCCCATGTTTAGAGCTCATCTATAAGAGTGTGGTTTGGGGAAATCAGGTGACAGGCATACACATCTATAAACATCCATAAGTATATTCCAGTAATTATTTTCTTATACTGTGTATATATCATGTATCTTGTATCCTTGGCGGGTAAAATCTATTCACTGTCATTAAGTTAATGACATTGCAGGAAACTGATAAATCATGGCCGAAAAATATAAGGACCTCTGTATGCAGTGCAGTGTCTCCATATACTGCAGATATTTATATGTATTCCAATACAATCTTCATATACTGTGTATTTTGTTACTGCTAAAACAAAAAAGCAAAAAAAAGCAAAGGGGAAAAAAGATCAAAGAAAAACAGTGCTGGCAGATCCATTTGCCTTCTTTCCCAAGAAAACCCGGCAGGCGGAACTGCGGACACAGGCGGCCGTGCAGATCCAGGCCTGGTGGCGGGGCGTTTCTACAAGGAGGCAATTGGATCGGAACAGACTTCTCACCCGGGTCCTGCTGCTCTGGCGCCGCTGGGCCTGGGAGACCAAGAGAGACCGGAACTGGCAGACAGTGCGCCGGGAGCTCGTCATCCTCACGATCTACCTCACGCTGATCCAAAATCGATCGCTCCTGGGGATCCGGGCCCGGATGCCCCGCTTTGGAAACCTACGCGTGCGCCGCCAGCGCCACAGCTCCCAGCCTTCAGGGCAGGACGGGAGCACAGAGCCCGAAAACTGCCCACAAAACGACACTGCAGCGGGTGGAAATACCCTGTAAAACCAGGGAAATCATACTGGAGATGTCAAACGAATTTCAATCAGAATTAAAATGAAAATATCATTTTAATTAAGAGTTCTATGTGCTGCAGTATTGTAACAGATAAATACCACATCCCAAGGAAAGATATACATGCTCTTTAATCTAACACATACATGTACAAGGGTATAAAGGAGAGTTCTCATCTGGGACTTTTTTTTCTTTCCCTTAAAAGCTAAATTAATCAATTAAGCTAATTGAACCCTTAATTGAACCATTTTTAACTTGGTATAAAATGTGTTTTCTTTACTAAGTTCTTGATTTGACTAAAGTTGACTTAATGATTCTTAAGAGAGGTCTATGAGGTTTGGACTTAACTGTCACACCCTCTACATCTAGAGGGCGCTGCTTCTCTGTCCTGTTCCTAGTTTCCCTGTGCTTTTCTTGTCCTTCCAGTGGGTCCTTGTGTGGGGCTATATGTTTCAGGGTCTCCCTTTGCTCCTCACTCAGCATTGAGGGTTCGTGTGTCTTGAGACCCACCCAGCACCAGGCCGTCTCCTCTGCAGCCTGAGGGCACAGGTTTCTCCCCGACCTCGTCTGACCCCCTGAGCCCGGGCTAACCTCCATGTTGCCCCTTTCGCCGCTACACATTGGGTCTTTACTGCTCTCCCATTGTCTCACAGCTTGACCTTTCCAACATCCGTGACATTAACAGCTAAACATTAACACAATCAGTGTTTTGTATGGGTCTTAATGTTTAGATTCCAGAACAAGCAGAAAGTGCTGTATGTACTTCTATTTGTTACAATAAAGATTCAGGGCTGCATGGTCGTAAGTGATGTATTCTCACAGCTTTGATACTACTGGCCTGGGGGAGCTTTCTGTATGGAGTTTTCCTGGTCTTGTCTAGGTGAGTCTTCTTTAGATATACAGTACTGATTTCTGGTGCTGGTCCAGGGTAACTGTAGGTGTATGTTTGAATAAATGTGTGTGTGCTCTACCATGGACTGGCATCCTGTCCAGGGTGTAGTCTGATCTTAGACCTGGATGAGAGGAAAATGGATAGTAGATTAATCTCCCACTGTGTATAATACCTGGGAGTTTCTGGACTCAATCAATTTTCATCCTTACCAGAGAATTTATGGAAGATTAGGATTAGAACACATAGTATCTAGATTCCTGTATGCAGCAGATAATAACATAAAGGGCATTAATTAGAGTTGTCTAAATGGAGTATTACCAAGAGGTCTCTAAGAACTGAAGCAAGTGGCATTCCAAATAATTAACCACATTAACAATAGACCTGTTTGTGAACATAAACAAAGGCTGAACAATGTTCACTCTTTTGGATAAATTAAGGTGAGATAAGGAAAAGAAAAATTGAAGATATTTGTTGTTGAAAAGTAGTTTAATGTACTGTACCAATCATACAAACTCATAACTGAAGTCATAAACTTTCCAAAACATTTGTCAAGATTAATTCACTATTTAAAAGGTAGTACGAAGTGGTCAAATTACCACTGTCTTCCCAGGAATACAAACCATGCACATCAGAACATATGTGCACAACTTTAAGGGTAGCTTTAAAATTTAGGTTAGGACTAGAGAACACTTAACAATTCATGGGTTATACTGTATATTATTACCTACTGTGCTCAAATTACAATGAGCTTTTCTAGAAATTTTTTTAACATGGACTCATGAAAGGTAGGTCATACAGTACCTACCAAATCTGTTAGAGTTCTTTGGAGAAGCAACAACAGTAATGGTTATACACATACCAAATTACAGTGTGTGGTTTATTTAGATTTTAAGAAGGGTTTTTGTTAAAGTTATTACTACTAGCAGCAAAGTTCTTGATTTCACTTAAAACAATACTTAGTAGTATACATTTTATTTGGCTGATGCTTTTATTGAGGGTGATTTGCATTTGCACCTACACATCTATTCACAGCAAGGCACTTTACAGGGAACAGTTCAGCTGGGGCAGTTTGCTCAAGGGTACAACCACAGCATCTCGGCTGGGAGTTGAACTCACAACCTTCCAGTTTCAAGACCAGAATCCCGAGTGCTACTCCCCAACCAGAGGACACAAGTAAAAGCTACTTAGAAGTGCATTTACAAAGGAGAACAGGCGGCTCCTCTTTATGCAAAGGGAAGTGGGATAATGGAACAAACTATCCAGCAATACCCTGTCTTGTTTCAAGAAACAGCCTGATACTGTACGGTCCTTGGTTCATAAACAGTAGCTACTAAACACCATCCAGGCTAGATGGGCCAGATGGCCTCTCTTTTTAACTGGTCTTATGTCCCTAACCTTATGGAATAAAAAAGTCACAGGTCAGATTTTTGTAGTTATGAACCAACATTTATTAGTTTCCATTTTATGTACATGAAAGGTACAATACTTAGATTTTAATAGCCTTTTAATTTATTTCACTGGTTTGGTACAGAAAGGATTTCATATAAGTTTTAAGTTTAAAAACCATTTTTCCATTAAAAGTACACCTACAAATTCACAAAGTAGGAAATTCTAAAAGTAAAACTAAAGTGCAAGTGAAAAAGAAAGGGAAACAGGAAAAGACCATGACGGTTGTTGGCTCTAATCTAGGAGATTTCATCAAAAGAGAAAAATTATCAGTAGAAAAGAAACGTACATTAACTGTCATAGAAATATTGTGCCTACCATTTTCTTTTTTAATGTGCGCAGAGATTTTGCTTATAAAAACATGGACAGGAAAAAGCCAAATTTAAAATGAATTATTTGCAAATAAAACTGACACTGTGTATAAGTTGACCGGTTAATTACAATTAATTAATACTGTATATAATAGTTTATATAATGTTTTCTATAGAGCTACATTCAATATGTTTGGTGTGGATTACTCCAGTGTTGTTTATGCTGGTGAAGGGAGTCTGGAATACATCCAGTCAAATAAAGAATTAATACAGAACGTGAGGGGGATATGGGTGGCATCATTACTGGCAGTTCAACGTGAGCCTCTAGCCCAGCAAATATCATACAGGAATGTATACAGAGTAAACATTTTATTAATTATTTTTTAACAATTCCTTGATGCTGCCAAAAGCACTGTTTGTTAACCTGAGGAATACTTTTTTTTTTCTAACAGGCACTGCCATGGAGGTCTATGACAGGAGAAAGGTCCTCAAAAAGAGGAAACTAGAACAAAGTTTGTTTTTCTCCCGTTTTAAAAAGATACCATTTTTGTGCTATTCAAGTTTTTTGTGCTTGTCAAGAGATTTTTTTGGCTGTGGGAAAGGCTTTGTAGGCTTCTGACTGTCTTTAATAAATTTGACTTTTTCTCTGTGCGCTGTAAACCTAGTTACACATGACAATAGTACCCACACTCCACAAACCAAGTAACACAACTCCACTTAAAAACACAGCTTCACAGTAAGAAAGGTTAAGCCAACAGTTTTTTCTTCCTCTTCCACCTGTGGAGAGTGTTCAAGGGAGCATCATTAAATCTCTGGAACATTCTGAGTTGCTATTTCACATTTAGGATATGTACACTGAACATAATTCACGCATGACTTTTAATTTCATGTGATAGACATTTGAAATGTTTACATTAGATTCCCAAAAATATATATATAGATTTATATAATGGATGTGTAACATCTATGTAAGACTATTTCAAACCGCTAACCAAAATGCAAGGACAAGCAACTTTTTAGTTCCTCTTTTAAATTTTTTTCTTAGCTATTTCTTTTACAGAGCACATAGGCAGGTATCCTCTAGCAAATTACAGAATAGTCACACCAAGTAAACACTACCCTTAAACATCATTTCACAGAAATTAGACATTTCCTACCTACAATATATACACAAAGTGCAAAGAGGCACTTTAAATCATGCTTTAAGATAGTGATACAAAATGATGTTCCATCCAGTAGGTTAAAACAGGGTTCGCTGGTCTGACACTCAGTCCCCTTAGGTGGTTGCCTGGTCAGCCACAACTGTTATCGTCAAAGAAACTACCTGAAAACAAGACAAACCTACTATATATAGACATACTTCATTCAAAATAAATGCTGAACCCAGTCTGTATAGATTTAAGATGAGTAGAGGTATGCTACTTTCCAACTTTCAGCTGTAAATTAAAAAAAAAGATTTGCTAAAATGAAAGACTTGTGTTGGTAAAACAACAACACCTTAGGCAGGATTAAATTATGTACCGAACAGAAAGATACAACCATATATAATGTAGAAATCCAAACTATCATGTACAGTAGCTTTCATTAGCCTGAAGTGCACACCTCAGGCTATCGCCTGAAGGGATTGAGTGCTATAATATGAATGTTTAGTAAGTAATATTAGTAAGATTATCATGCTTTTATCAGTGATCATCATCAAACTCCTAAAACAGGCTGCTCTGTTTGTAGTTCACATTTTCAAGGCAAAGCTGTCATCAAGTGAAAAAAAAAAGGAAAAAAGGAGAATGAAACAATCATCAATAAAAAAACACACCACCCACCCACCTCTTGCACACACGTGAACAAACAAAGAATTACAAGCAAATGTCCCAGTGGTCTCTGCTTGAGAGGAAATAATTCACTTTCCTTGTGCTACAGTAGCTCTTATACTGTACTACACTACAGTATATCAATTATGCTTCTATCTTCTGAAATGCAAGTGCAAGGTTTCATATTCACCTCTGTGCTTCTGAATCATCATGGTTTTCATGCATTTTCTATACCTTAAACTACACCGTGATGTTTGGAAACAGGACACCCTCCTCCTTGTCAGAGGCGCTAAGAACAGTCATGACCTTTGTGGTAATAGGCTGAACACGTGTTCCTGCACTCGGGGATAATCTTCAGATTAAAGGGATGGGCTAGACAAAAACAACACAGCATGAAAATGTGCTTTCTTGTGATATAATTTTTGATCATTTTAAATAGAATGGATATTTTCAAAGAAAGATAAACAGAGGTGTTCCCAGAACATTAGATTGTATGCTCTAGTCTTTCCAAGCAACAAATATAAAAAAACATCCTGAAAGCATAGTTTTACGTTGCAATATAAAATGCTAGAAATATACAGAAATCAATTTTAGAAAGTCTATAAATGTACTAATTTAAAATTCCATTTTAGTTCCCCATTGACAAATTTCAATGTGCTCAAAGTACATAAAATAATTGAATACATTTTATTTTAACTGTATTTATACATGTTCAGATATATTTCACTATTGTTTCTGATTTTGTTCTTTAAACATATATCCAAACTATTTTCATATTATTTTGAAAGTGTGATATTTGACTTTATGTCCAGCAATGGACTACCATCCGATCCAGGGTCTATCCCTTTCTCACAGCCCTGAGTTGGTTAAGTGGATTAGAAAATGGATAGATGGAATATTTGACTAGTATTTGGTTTTCATTGGAATCCAAAAAGTGTTTTGGGGAAGTTTGTTTAATTCTCTGTGTGAAGTGTCAATAACGCTTTCTTGGGCAGGACACATAGGTTATTTCCTAAAAGACCAGGATAAAGTGGGGTAGCTAAAAAACCTACGGTATGTTGAAATGTTTTGGGTGAAATTTGTTTGAAGAGGTGGAAGGGTACAGGGTGTTTTAAACTTTAATTGGAAGTTGTATTTCAGCATTATGGAATTATAGATTTTCAAGAACACTTTTCTTAGCTTCTCAGCCTTAGCATCTTTTTATTTCAAAGTACGAAGGCTTTTCTTCCAAATACTTTCTCTCAACATTTATAGTCTTTTATTCCAGGAATGAATAAGTGATAAAATAATTCAGAGTGTCTTTCTGAATACTTTTCAGTGGCTAGGTGTTTGCTTCACTCACGTGGTCTACACATTTCACAACAAATTGTCTGATAAGTATGTGCCTGATCCTTCTGTAGTCATCTGTAGATGAGCCCAACCCAAAACAACCCAATACTAGAACCGTGGATTCTGTACTTAAATTATCCTGCAACAACAAAATGAGACATATTGGCAACTCTAAAACATGCTAGAACAAGGCAGTACAATTTGTTAAAATGATGTGTAATGTCATAATTTTAATTTAAATGCAAGATTGATTCCAAATAAGGCTTACATATTTCTTTTATATCAGACTGAGGAAAAGCAGACTAGGTAGAACTGATGCTCTTGCTCTAAGACATTGGCATTACATTTAAGTCATTACGAATTCAAAGAACCCTAATAATTTACAATTCATCTATGTCCATTTAATTTCTATTAAATTACTGCACTTAGCATGCATGCAAGCTTTTCTAATAAAACCAGTCTCTCTGAAGTTAATTTCCCCCACTGTTATTAATCTTATCGATCTCCTCTAGAATTGGGTCTCAGAGGATCTATTCTCAGTATTTTCACATTTTTTCTTACTACAGCAAATATAACCACTACACAATCAATACAAATTTAATTATATACTTCCAACAATCAATACACTAACCAATACATTATAGTAATTTCATAGAGATACCAGATCACAGATGCAGCACAGAACAACTTATACCACCAAAGCTGAGAAGAGTGTTCATTAAAAGTTATTTTGTCACAGTAGAATGATGACAGTTTTTGGTCTGTTGATACAAAGAAATTTACTACTGTATTTGATGGCCCCCAAAAGAATTAAGACACAAAGCTCCTTTTCTCAAAGAAAGAGGTAAGAGGTGCTTTTTTGGGTTGTATTATTATTATTATGATATAAGGCCTTGAAGGAAGAACTGTAATAATATCTTAACTTTCAAAGGACCAAACTTGTGGACTGGCAGTCTCAGAGCTAAATGAGAATGTTATGTCAACTAGAGAGAAGAAATCTGTCAGAATCAACAGGTGAATCCATCCTCACCAATCAGTATGCATGACTCATTGGATTCTCCTGGTAGATTGTGAAGACATGCCAAATCCAATTGTTCTTACTATTTAGTCATGACAAGACTATGTGGTTTGTATTACTGATTTAAATATATTTTTGTCATACAAATATATGCTAATGCATGCCTAAATATTTAAAATTTTTCTGTAGGTTTACCTACAGACCATAGTGTACTTTGTGGAATGTATCCCAGTATAATACTGTCTGCCCCCCACAAAAAATACCTTGATAAATATTGCCGTCATATTTTTGCCACCAGAAAAGATAACTGTGAAAGGGGTACGATGAAGCAAGGTTTTTCTATCGTGAAAAAGAAAATCCCACTAGACAAAGTTTGAAGATCGGATGGCAGGTGAAGACATTGTAGGGACACCATTGGACCTGTCCAATCATTTGATTCACTCCATTCAATCATGAGACAGACCTCCCTGTCTCTGGCAGTGTAGTGCCTCTTTTCCCTTAATTTAATCCCTTAACTAATCATTTTAAATATAGAGTATAAGCTGAATGGGGAGTTCCATAACATTTATTTTTGTTTGAAAAAAAGATTCTCATTGGGCTGCTGTCCAAATGTAAGAATGAAAATGAGCAGCGCAGAAGGAGGTTGTCAGTACACTGTGAGGTAGGCCTGATGCTGCTGAACATCCAGCAGGCTGGGCCTGATTTTTCCAGTAGGAAAAATACTTGCCCCGACTGGAATTAATCAGACTGGCACAGGTAAAATAGGGCCCCCTGTCTGTAACCCTCCACTACCACCACGAGGAAAGACAAGAAATGATGATAAATGATGGCCTTGCCACTTTGTAAGTTTTTCTGTGCAAGAACTTGAGCAGAGCATGAAAATAAATCTGCTCTAATTCAGAAGTAGAGGCCTAAAGGTTTGCATGACAAATGATGGTGGTTGAACAAGGACAGAGAGAAATGAGTTTCCCTGCCCCAGCCTTGAGCACAAAAATCATTTATTCCATTTGACCTTAATGAAAATCCCAAATCGTCGCACATGCTCAAGCTCGGGACAGGCAGTTTGTCAGTCTCATTATTTTTCCTTTTGCACAGACTAGTGAACTGCCTGAGCCCAGATATCACATTTGGTGTCACTGGAGAGCAAAGGGGTTTCTCTTTTTAGAAAGTAGACTCTATAGTGAAAATCGCACTATAAAATCACAAACAAACATGCTTTAGGGAGTTAGTAGGTTATTGAACTACGTCATTCAATCAGTTGGTCAGTCATGTTTTTGTGAGAATTAATAGATTAATAGATTTTGTCATCAAAACTAAATCATGAAACCAATTATTAGTTTTGAATGATTATTTGTTTTAGTTTTTTTATTTGAAAATTATTTTTAATTTTTGTTTGTTTTTTTCACCAGGTGGAAAGCTTGTGGAGGCTCTGGATAAGGCGCAGCTGGGATCTCTGTTCTTTATTTTTCACGTTTCCAAGGTTCCTCCTCAACAAGTGTGTATTCAGCAGTGGAGCCATTTGTGGCCAAGGTGACCTGAAAGCAATTATCAGGAACAACTAACTCAAGGACCAAGGCACTAACAAACACTTTTTTTCTTAATGGTTTGGAGCAGAGAGACTGTATTTTTGTGTTTCAGAGGCAAACAGCTGGGATCCTCTGTTAGCTCATGCACACAAATGTTAACTCTTGGATTTGCATAACAAGAGAAAAACGGAAAACTGCTGTATTACTCCACAACAGCCAAGTGTCCCTTACTACTGTGCCAGTGGATCAGTGTTCTCCTTTATTTATTGATCAAATATCTAGGTGTGTGAAGATAATGGAAAACTATTAGGAGTGTGCAATTTCCTAATTTGTTTACAATTTGTTGTTTTTTTCTTTTGCAATTTGAAGTGATATTTTAATATTTGTACTGTATATCTACGTGAACAACACATCAAAGCCATCAATGTATTTGGTACAATGTTCACTCCCATGTATACAGAACGTTCTAGCCACAACTGAGTAAGTGTCCTTGAAATTATTCCATTGTATTGCAACATTTGTGCATTTCCCTCTCTGAGAGAAAATGGTAAAGAGGATACCAGTCAATAGTAATAACAGTCTATACCAACAACTAACTATAGATGTCAACTTAATCTCACCCTGGTGACCTATGCATGGATTTACATGAACTAAATATAAAATATATTTACAAAATATGTATTGTGCTTGTACTTATATTGTGTATGTGCATTATTCCTCAAGCATTATTAAACAGAAGTGTGAATGTGACGATACAAGAGAATATCTCTTTGCACTATTGCACTGTGGCGTCTCCACAGTCATGTGAGGCCTTCAGGATGAGACCCATTAGAATGGCTGCGTTATTAAAATATCTCGTCACCATAAACTGACATGAAAATGACGATGATGGGCTAATTCTACTGACCATTAACTTTTAAGGAAAGCAGAGGAAAAGCCAAATACCACAGACATGAACTGTGTGACAATACCAGTGATTTAAATAAATGTTCACAGTAGTTTGACTACATAGTTCTTTAGAAATCAGTTTCTCTGCTCCAGTGTACACAGGTACAATTACCTGCACAACAGCCTGATGACACTTAAAATCTATTGTTAAAACATCACACATGCTTGCTGTTGCCCAGGTATTATAAAAACTGGCACTGGCATCCTTCTGATGGAAGATTGAAAAGAAAAAAAGATACTTCAGGTATTTCATGCAATTAAAGAGACAATAAAACAGCACAGAAAATACAAAAGCATCAAAATAAGAAAAAAATAGTAATATTTTGAGTCTTTCCCTTTGTTTCTAAAAATAGAAAACATTTGATGAGCCATGCACATTTTACAAGACATCTGAATGTCAGATTTTTTTGCAAGATTTTATACAATATATAGATAAAAAAGACACAAATCAAAATATATGTATATACACAGTGAATATAAACATGCAGGAAGAGAAGATGGAATTGCAGCCTTTGTGCCTCCTGTTAATAATATATTATAAAACCTGTATTAGAAATAGTTCCTTTATAGAGAATAATAAGAATTTGGTTGCAAGAAAACAGGAAAGACTCTCCCTCTATTTCGATCAGAAGTGTAAAAGTGGTGCCTGAATATACTGAGTCTTCTGTCACAGTCAGACTGAACAGACAAATTACAGCTCACAGATTCCCTTTAAACAGCAACAATCAGTTCATTAAGCCTGTACTTAACATATTTAACACTTTCCCAGAAGTACCTTACTTTTGATATTGTTCTCAGTGAAAAAGGCTTCCTTATCCCTGTAATTTAACAGGTTGTATGAGCAGACCCTGGATTATTTTCATATCTAAACACACCCAGACGAGTTAGAAATCACTTTCCAGTCCAGTGTGTAGCGCTGGGATTTAGAGCCCCTCAAACCGAGACATACTGCATCAGTAATGAAGTGTCTGAAACCTAAGGAAATCCAACACTAAGGCCTGGATTAAATTAAACCTTCTCCCATCCTTCAGTCAGATCTTCAATAAACCCAGGTAATGAACTGGAAGGAGACCCAGACAGCAGAGACCTGCTACTCCAAGTCGCATGGTATTGCGCACACCAAATAATTGAGTTTTTCTTTAGTGTGACAGTTACTGACTACAACTGGGAAAGCTGTGAACTTTGTGGAAATAAGATAATAACTAATTTGACTGGATAATTATTAGCTCAGATGAAATGAAAACTAGAACATTCTATGGACCTCCAGAACTGGGGTTGTGCATCCTGGCTTGCTGGGATTGTGGACAAGATGCAGTGCAATTAATCCATCAAGAAATAATTACAGCTGAGTCTGTTGTGAAGCTCCATGATGCAAAATGCATGCCTTATAATTAGATTCAGGAAATACTGTTGCATCCTGACGTCTTTTTCTATCTGAATTCTGTTAAGATTGGAGCAAAATTCCTTCACAAACTCAAATGAAAGTGTGATGTTTTTGTAAGCAGAAATGGAATTTATTAAATATATTAGATAAGCTAAGTGCCAAAGCCTCATAATTGGAAATGGGATTTGATTTGTGAAATCCCATGGTGCAACCTGGATAGGGGTTTATCTGATAATCCCCAAGGAAATTACTCTGCTGGATGGCTTGTAGTTTTCTCCATCAGATCATCAATCCCAAAAGAGAATGACCAGGCCCAGAAAACTATGGACAGATGGATGGACAGAACTTGCAGTGCTCTCCACCTAAGCACATCTGTCATTCTGTGCTGAAAGTCTTTTAAGAAACAGAAGGGACTGGGGTCATAGTGACCTTTGTGTTTTAAGGACAATGAACATTTTATCATTGACTCTGCTTTAAGACATAGAAGATAAAATAATATACTTAGATAAACCTTTTGCTGTAATCTGTCAGGCTTGTGATTGTCAATATCACCTGTATTACAGGTGTGAGGCGATGGTGCATTTATTTATTACAATACTTTGAGTTCTGAAAATGTAATTACATGGTATTCTAATTTACAAAGATTAAGCATTTTCACATTACATTTTTAAATTACATTGTGCATTTCAAAGTGTTTATGTTTTCATGTTGTCTATAAATTGCTTGAATCTTGTTTGTAGAAGTAAAGTGAAAAACAACCAATTTGCAGAAGGCAAATCCAGAACATTTGAATCTAAAGAACACACTGGTGAAACGACAGATGCACCCATATTTTCTTTATATCCCAAAGTAAATTCACTAGTCCTTGAGTAATCTGTGTTAATCCCAGCAGACCTCCCTTGGACAGACTATGTAACCTGGTCCTAGCTTTTTCAATCATATAATGGGTCACTGGCCCATTTGTGTAAGTGGATAGGATTTATTTATTACAGTAGTTTGAGTACAAATTGTTTGCTGTTGTTGCTTTTTGAAAGCATTGTGATCAAAGTCTGTATCGCTGATCTGTGACGGTACAGTCTGAGAAGATGTCTAGAAAATGTTGAAAAATAACAAACAATGGCCAAAGCTGGGTTAAACTTTGGCTATGTATTTATTATTTACAATGTTGAAGTGGAGAAAAAATCTTGTATTATGTAGAATACAATGCTTTGAAATGTATGAAATATATAAACACTGTTTTGTTTTAAACCTCAAATACTGAATACTTAAAAAAAGCTGTGTGTACATACTGTATACACATTTTAATATACACCATGATCAATAATCTTATACAGTATATTTATCTGCATGAGTTTGCAGAAGTGTGTATATCCAGATGGCATAACGACTGCTATTCCATTTCTTGTTTTTCCATTTTTTTTTCTTTTCAAAGTACCTGTATAGAAATTTCTATAGATATATACAATCATGCAAAAAAAGGAGTGGAGCAGGCGTGCATTGCTATATACAAGTTTCTATATCCATAAGTGTGAAATGTACCTTGCACTCATCTACTAGGACAGAGTTGTGAGCAGCATAAACACACTGGTTGGAGTTGTTTTCCCGATGGTTCAGGTCATCATAGAGGGACTGTGTTTTGGTGAGCTCAATGTCATCATGGTGACCATGCTGGGCATCCAGATTGTCCAGCTCCGCTTTGGACAGGTGGTAGACGATCCCAGCACCAAATGAGTCGCCCACCACGTTGACTGAGGTTCTGAAGCGGTCCCTAGAGGATAAACACAAGTGGAGATGCAGACTGCACTGTATACTGTAATCCATGTTCTCTTGTCAGGGATCCCTGCTCCCATCAGGGCAAGAGACTACAGGCCTAGAATGGAGGACGGTGATGGGCGCTGCACTGGGGAGCTCAACAATACCTTCTGATTGGATTATCAGTATATAAATCTGGCCAGACAAGAAACAAAATGTCAAAGGAAGTGATTTCTGCAACATGGCCTTTCCATTTCATTGAAGGTCTCTTGCTATTTTAGAAACATTCTTTGAAAATCCTGCAGCATCCTGAAACCGGATCACAGATCCCACCACAATTCCCATTTCAAAACTCTTCTGAAATTAATTATTTTGCTAAGCAAAGACTGCTTAATGTACTGTAGTATTTGGGAGGATTTACAGTATGGTCCTGCAGCTGCATCTGACTTAAAAGCTAAACAAGAAGCAGCTTTTAAGGTTTTTTGCAGTGTTCTCCAGATTTATTAATCACACAATGAAATAGGAATAAAAACATCAAGTATTCAGAAATATTTACAGGTAAGATAATGTACCCTGTAAGACAAATCCACAACTGTCTTGGTGTGATCTTGATAGCACTGCACATAGCGGTGTCAAATTTGTCCTTTTGTACAGAAATCAAAGGGCAGACTTTACTCACACCTCTAAATACACTTCCTTTAAATAAACTCCAACAAAAAACTATAACTACATTCTGCTCTATGGCTCTATGAAAGTGCAATAAAAACCTCTGGAACTACATTTCTGAAGGTTTCCATGGAAATAAAAAGACAAAAACAAGCTAAAAAATGTGTTAAATAGAAACTAATTGATTCCTAGGTTAAATGCGAGCAAATGATATAGCTGGGTGAATCACAAATTGAGCTTTTTGAGTAGTCTCACCAGTAGTATGATTTATACAAAGAGGTATATATCAACCCTTCAGTGAAGTACTGTATGGAGGTACTTCTGTTTTGGTTTGAGGTTGTTGCATCTTCAGGTCCTGATGCCCTTGTTACAAATGAGGAATATACGGATTCTTGTGTTTATAAGGATATTTTATCCAAAACTATGGTTTTCTCAGCTAAGAAGCACATGCAGTTAACAACTGTGCATTTCTATTTGGAAATGGTTAATGGAACATAAAATCAATGTTCTTCATCATCGGTCATCTCTGTCTTCAGACTTCCTGTATATCCAATCAAACATTACTGGTTCAAACTGGAGAAGGTACTCTAGTTCACAAATAGAGACCAAAGTGTCTAAAGGACCTAAAGCAATTCTTCCTGGAGGAATGGTCAACAGTCCCCCCTCAGGGGTGACAGAAACCCATGTCACACTCAAGAAGGCATCTGATCTAATCCTGATGTTATCCACACCAGAGTAGGGTTTACACAACCTGTCTACAGGAGCAGGAATAAATGTGACAACTGGGTTTTCTAGCCCTAAATTCATTTATGACAAATACAGTATACTGTAGCTTTGCTCTTCGCCACTAAGCTATTACATTATAATATTTTATGATTTTTGTTCTTAGTTCACATACAGTTCACATACAGACACAGGGACATGAGTTTTTTGCTTTTGCTCAATGGTGGATGTCAAAAACCATAAGCAGATCAGATCTATGCTGCATGTACATGTTATGGTGTACTGGGTAAAATTGACCTACAGTAGTTGCATACTTATAAAACATTCTAAAATTGTAATTGTAAATGTGAATAAGAACTTATATGCTGTATAATATTTTGTTTATTAGCTATCATAATTTTCTATCAATTTAAATTAGTAAGAAAAATATATATTGACAGTTGTTGTACTATAGGCTACTATAGAAGATTTTTAAGCAATACAGTATATGTGGAAAAATATTTCAGAAGGAACTCAGTTCAGACTTCTACACAGTACATATGGTTCTACAGCAGTAACCCTTATTTTTATTATAGCCCAGAAAACACAATAGTATGTGCAATATTCTAGGACTTCCCATAGGATGAATCAGTCTCTTCAATGTCATTTGCTACCATCTGTTAATAGTCGCCAGACTGTGGGAGCTTTGCTCTTTAATTTAATCATTTCTCAATTCAGAACTTGCCAAAGAATGGTGTAAAAGTGTTAGGAGACCTGCTGCAACCTTACTGGGGTGCTGCTTTAATTGAGTTGCACATCCTACAGTTTGCAGAATTTGCATGTGTAAGCAGTTTAAACACTTCCTAACAAAATGCTGCCATTAACAGCCGAATGTATTTGTCTAATCCAGTGGTTCACACAGATTTTCCTCTGTTAATTCAATGACTTTATTGATGTACTTTCTTTTTAGATCTTTATTTAACTCATTGCTTAGGTTAATCCTGATAGTCAAAAATGTCTTCTTCCTAGGTTATGATTCTCAACATTTTCAACAACTTCAGAACGTAGTACTTTACACTACCTCTCATCAACTTGCTTGCCACTCATTCTGTCTTAACTACTCTTATTATCTGATCTATTTTTGATGAATAATCCTGACCCAGACACCTGTACTCCCACAGTGAGTGATTTTTCCTCTGCAGAGATTCAACTAACTACAGGTATGTTTCAGGAAATGCCTGAATGAGGGCTGTTATAACACTCAGAAAATGGTACAGGTTTGAAAGCAATTAAAATTCCATTTGACCTTCTTTTAAGAGCAGAAAGCAAATTTACAAACATGCCCCAAAGAGAAAAGTGAAATCAATAAGCCTGTGATTAAGAACCAAACTGCAGCTAAAAACAGAGGTGACATATTTCTTCAGGACTGTTGTTGGAAATCACTGCGTACAAGTCAGTGTACAGGCCATAACATTAAAGTAGAAGTATCATACTAATTTTAAGGAGTGCTCCAGGTTTTTCTTGTGGCAATTACAATCTAAGCTTTTTAATTAACTTAATTAATCTAGTTAGCTTCTTTATTCATATTTTTAAAGAACATTAACTGGATTCATGGTCTAGTGACTCTCAAACATGTTTCAGATGTGTTGAAATGTAAAAATTGACAGAGGAGTTGATGGGTACATGAAGTCGGTGTGATGCAACTCACAGGAGCCAGTCCACAGCCACCAGTAGACTGATATCCTGTGTGGGCAGCCCCACAGCGGTCAGGATCAGCAGCATCGTGACCAGTCCAGCGCTCGGAATGCTGGCCGCTCCCACACTGGCTAGGGTGGCGGTCAGACTACAGGAAGGAAAAAGAGTTCTTGGTTTACTGTTCACTCAAACACTTTGGCAGAAATGCTCATCCTTTAAACCACATATACAGTATAACATAGAACTCGCGAGGGTTAGGTACTGAACCTTGAAGTGGCCTCTAATGGAGAAGTCATGAATATGGAACTACAAAACTGATTTTTTTTATGTTATGACTCTTAACTTTTGCAGAAATAGTGTTAGTAATCATTGGTAGTATTGTTACTTAAAACAAGTACTGAAAATAAAGAATAAAGAATTTGTTTTCCCACTATAATTCTAGTTATTGCAAAAACATTAGATCATTGTTGTGATATTATAGCTTACTCTTAGAGTTTTTTTTTATTTCTTGTACAGTGCATTTTCTTTATTTTTATGCCTTGGTTTTATGACTATTATAAATGTAGCCCTACTTAATAACGTTTATTACAACACGGTAATAACAGTAATTATAACAGTAATATTACAACATTAGTAATAACTGACAAGAAAGTTTCCTCACTCCCTTTCTACTCAATCAACTACCTCCTCTTCTTGCAATTTGTCTAATTCTGTTTCTTATAATTTATTTTCTTATCCTTTTCTTCCAGACACATAAGAGCTGAGACTGTGATAACTGTGTTTTTTTATTTGATTTTTTACTCTTTTATTTAACAGCACAACAAAATGTTGTGAAAGTTGGTGCCCACATTTATCCTCCTAAAGCGCCACCCACGAACAGGCAAATTTGGTCTGAGCATGTGAAAAAAGTGGTTACTAAAAAATTTTGTGAATGGGCAAGATCACAAATATTGAAATTGCAAATACTGGGATTTTACTATATCTGGTATACCATAGCAAAGACAGAACTGAGTGCAGGCACAGCTGGTGAAACAACATAGGGAAACTGTGACTAAGCAAACTTACTGCACAACTGTTAAAATACAGGTTCTGTGAATGTATTTTATATCTACAGATGCTTGATTAGGTATTTCCTTACTGTTGTAATGTGAAGAGCCTCACCTGACAGTGACTATCTGTCCCCCATCCAAGTTGATTCCATTCATCTGTGCAATGAAGATGGCGGCCACAGCCTCGTACAGCGCAGTGCCATCCATGTTGATGGTTGCTCCCACAGGCAGAACGAACCTCGTCACTCTCTTGTCAATGCCTAGGTTCTCTTCCAGGCAGCGGAAAGTGACAGGCAGTGTGCCAGCACTGCAGGATGAGAAAGCAGGGAGGACTGAGCCCAGACAAACATGGGAATGTGTCTCTCTCAACAGTTTGTGAAGTAATGGCTGAGCTAAAGGCCACATTAATGCTACAACACTTTGCCACAGTGAAGTGGGCCAGACATTTTTCCATAGTTATAAATCATTCAAAACTGAGTTTAAGGATGTAAGATTACTTGTGAAAAATATTAAAAGATGTGATTCTTTTTGGATATCAAACAGGCAAGTGGAAAGATACTCTGACCCTAGTTCATGATGAGTTGTGTGATTGCAGGTCTGAACCTGGGTCATGCTAGCAGCCATATCACCCTGCAGCTCACAACTGATAACCCACATAAGCTCAGCAGGTGTGAGTCTGGTCAGTATCCAGATGGGAGACCTCCTGGAAAAAAACTAAGGTTGCTGCTGGAAGAGGTACTAGAGGGGATAGTTGGGGGTGCTCACCCTGTGGTCTGCGTGGGTTCTAAAGCCCCAGTATAGTAATGGGGACACTAAACTGTAAAAAGGCGCTATCCTTCAGGTGAGACGAAGAAACGAGGTCCTAACTCTCTGTGGTCATTAAAAATCCCAGTGTGTTTCTCGTAAAGAGTAAGGGTGTTACCCCAGCATCCTGGCCAAATTACCCATTGGCCCTTACCTATCATGGTCTCCTAATAATCCCCACCTATGATTTCACTTCATCCCTTTGTTCTCCTCCCCACTGAGAACTGATGTGTGGTGAGTGTTCTGGCGCACTATGGCTGCAGTCACACCATGCAGGTGGTGGTGGAGGGTAGTCCCCATTGCCTGTAAAGCACTTTGAGTGGAGTTTCCAGAAAAGCACTATGTAAATGTAAGGAATTACTATGTTACTGGCCGAGTGTGACCGAGATTATCCAAGAGGCAGCACTCAGCCGATAGAGAGTAGAGTGGCATGAATCCACTAGCCCTAAAAATCAATGGACATTCTGTGAAATTAAGTTTTCAGATGATACCACCCTGGCAGGGCTAATAAATAAGATTAATCTCTGTACAGGAAGGAGGTCACTGCTTTGGTGAGCTGGTGCAGTCAAAACAATCTCCATCTTAATATAGGTATAGAACTAAGGAGGTAATCTTTGATTTAAATTGCGAGAGGAAGGAATTAGAACTTCTTGTGATTGGTGGTCACATGGTGGAGCAAGTAGATACCTATAAGTTCCTTGGCACAACAATATCCTTCATCTTGAAATGGGAGACAAATGTACTGATTGTGAAAAATCCCTGATTAAAAATAAGCTCAGATATAGTAGTAGATAGTGTCAAACAAAACAGTCAAACCACCACTGCTACCTGACATTTGGGCTTTTCGCCATATAAACATAGGTCAAGGGCTTTACTTAACTTAAAATATAGTATTGTCCATTATTGTACCACATTTCAGTACTAAAGAGCATGTCAATGTTGTTTCCAAAAATAAAATAATTTAGAAGCAGCGCCTTATTGGTGACCATACATTTATCAGAGAGATTTTAGTGGGTTCAGGAAGGGAAATTCACACTTGTTCATAGAATTCCTTTATAATGGTATAAGGGATCTCTGGTCAGCTTTTCACTTAAGGTGGGTGATCCAGGAGAGAAACAGATTACTTCACTACCAATGAGCATTAAAAAAAACCTGTTCATCCTTAATCAGAAAGCCACAATTCCTGGCAAAGGTCATGGGAGCAAATCTCAGGATAACAGGATAACAGTCACCTGCAGATAATACGCACAAAGGGACAATTCAGAGACAAAAAGCCCCATTAGAAATTCAACAATGAGAAACACCATTAGCAGAAGATTAAAATTATAAGAAGTTTTCAAGGAAAGCAGCAGCTGTTACCTGGATGCTGTGCCCAAGGCAGTGATCCAGGCCTGAAAGATACCTATGAAGAAGGTGAAGGGGTTCTTCCGCACGATGATGAAGTAGAGCAGAGGCAAGAAGATGGCACCATGGATGATGAGCCCGATGATGACAGTTACCATGTACATGCCCAGCTGGCGAGCCACCACCTCCAGATCCTTAATGGAGATGATCTTCCCACAGATCAGGCACGCGATTCCCAGAGGAGAGTACCTGAGGAGATAGAGACACTCAGGACCGGGACAAACTGCTCAATTGTTGATCAACCAAAGTCACAGAAAGTTATGGATTCTGAAAAGGCATTTCAAGACGTATCTCCTACTTTTGTGTATAATTTATTGTTTTTTATTTATTTAAACAGGCATTTACAAAAATGGAACATCAATAGATACTGAATGTTAAATTCATAGATGTCGAGACCCTACTCTATTTACATCAAGGCATTTAGAGGGACAATCTGACTGAAATTTACAATACCAACATACATGATCTGGATTCACAACCTTTTGGTCCAGAGACTAGAAGACTAAGCACTATGCCATATTAATGCACATGTGATAAACTAGATACGAAATCAAATTGATGATGATATGAATTCAGGCTAATTATGTTTAAACCGATAGAAGGTGGAAGCTACAGGTATTTACAGTGGTCCCAACATGTATTTTTATTAACAAATACTACCAATAAAATTTCATTTATACTACCCTGTTTCAAATCACAAGCATTATTTTACTAAAAACCTTTATCTAGACAAACTTAGAATATATACATTTACATTATGTTTAAATACATATATACTGTATATGTTTTATACAGGGAAATTTAACTTAATGTGTTGTATTCAACTGGGCACAGGCATTTTTAGGTGTGCTTGCCAGCATCTCACTGACCACATGACAATGATGACCAGCCTCATGACGATCTCATTGAGGATGTTGAAGAACTCCAGCATCAGCTTGGCTTTCTCCCCCATTTTTCCCATGCAAATTCCAAAAGCAATGAAAAAGCCAATCAGACCTGTGGAAGCAGTAGAGTTTCACACTCAATACATTTTGTAAATTAGGTTGAACTATCACACTTTGGATCTAAGCTTTTTTTTCTTCATAAATGACAAGAAATAGCAATGTTTTTCAAAACCATTAAAGTATGTTGACTGCTGAGTCATATCCTTTAGATATGACTAAGACATCATATAATGAAAGTGCAATGACTGGAGCACATTCTTTAACATCCTTCTATTAAGAAGGCTGCATTTAAAAATATTAATCTCTACAATTGCTCATTGAAGTAATTTGTAAACTACAGTACTCTGAGTAAACCTTAGTGAGCAGCGTTTATTGTAAAACTACAGATGTTAAAAACATTTTTCACAATGTAAATATACAGTACATAGAAGTGTAGTTTGTCTTATCCGTCAGTACACAAAATAACATTTTTTTATGTAATGGTTATTAATTTTTGCACAGTGCTATTCAAACTTTTAAAGTAGGAAATTAGTTATCAGGGATCTTCTCTCCTTACCTAACACATTCATCCCACCCTTGAACTCCAGAGCTTTTTTGGTCATGTAGACTGTCTCAGGTGCCACAGTTGCATTCACCAATAAGTCATCCATGGTGGAGTTGGTGTTCTCCTCATCAGAGTAATCAGGGACAACTGGGACCTTCTTAGCAACCGTCTGGATCTGGTGTGGAGAGCAGAGTGAGTGTCAGACAACAGCACATTGATGTCCAAAACAGTCAGTCTTTGGAGTTTCTCTGTGCACCTCAAGGTCTAATGTCCTATTATACTGGAAGAAGTCTCTACAACTGAAACTTTGTTTCACTTTTCTCTTGTTATTCCACACAGAAACTTTACCTGTTCCTTTGTAACCACTGGAATCTCATGTAGCTCTGCACTCAATTTTTTACTACACTAATGGTTACTTTAATTGAACAACTGTCATTTTTCAAAGGTCTTCAGTTGTTGAAATAAAACTTTCTTGGCCCACCTAATCCCCTGAGGGCTGAAATTTAAAATGGTGACGAAAAAGGCAGTTTTTTTCTAAATTTTGTATTGTATTTTCTATTCAATACCTACCATTCTGAACCTGCCAGTTGTTTATCAAACCGTCATCTATGATCCAAACCCAGTAGAGACAGACACTTTTATGCCATTACTTGGGGATTCCTAGCTGTAGCTGGCTAAACACATTTTAGCTTTAGCTTGATCAAAAAAGATAAAGTAATACTTTAAGATAAGATCACTTTATTAGCCATATACAACTTCTTGTATTGGGAATTTGTCTTTTTGCATACCCCAACTTGCTCTCCATGAGACACACAGACAGGAAGGGAAGCTTGGGGTCAGAGTGCAGGTTCAGCCATTTATACGGCGCCCCTGGAGCAGCTGGGGTTAAGGGCCTTGCTCAGGGGCCCAACGGAGTAGGATTCCTCTGCCGGCTGCAGGATACGAACTGGCAACCTTCCAGCCACAGGCGCAGAACACAAGTTTTAAAGACAAACTCACTGCTGGATGACATTTCTGAATGGCTTCATTTAATTAACCTAAATCCAGAAAAATGTGTATTACCTTACAATATTACCTAATGTGACAGACATGCTTTAGGGAGAATATTTCTATTTGAAGGTTTAAAATTTTACAGTATTCAGGTAAATAATGGAGAGAGATAAAACGGCCTTGAATACATACCTGCTGGAAGCACGCCTGCACTAGATTCTCTGGAAAGAGGTTTCTGATGAGGTCGAAGAAGGCATCCAGACTGGAGACCTCATCGTTTTTGTTGCCCTCTCCCAACCGAGCCTTAAGTTTGGGGTTTCCAGGGTGGATGAGCAGCACCAGGATGACACCCAGAACGGCTGCAATGATGGTTGTTGACATGTAGTAAACCATGGCTCTGGTGCCCAGCCGGCCACTGGCCTTGGCATCCAGTCCTGCCAGGCCTGAGAAGGAAAATGGATGGTGAATCATTGCTGTCCATACTCCGTCTGTACCACTGGGAGCACAGCTAAAGTGCTACAGTTGTGTATAGTTATCATGTCTGAAGGTTTCTGTCAAATACATATATTCCTGCAATGTGTTGAAAAAAAATGTTGAGAATTCCATAGCTTGAAGCAAGATTGGTGGGACAGCTCTATTACAGACCTCACACTGGATATTTGTCTTTGGATCTCAAAGGTTCCCATAAAGCTTGGTCAAACACCAGAACTTTCAGCTTTCTTACACCTATTGGAAGTGTGTGTCAAGACTTTCCCTGAACACAGATATTCCTCAGACTGGTACCACTGATACTGAGGGTGTTCCTGTGAGGGTGCCAGCACTTCATTCCACATACAGTATATATGTTTTTGCATGTACTGTATATACAGTAGTTTCTATATGTAAGAAATGGTGCCACACAAAATGCAAGCTATTTCCAAAGGCCAAAGAGGTAATGCTAATGATTCCATATAGTGTGTGAGCTGTTCCTGTTGAGCTATAAGTTGGATTTGTACAAGTCAGCATTGATATTTTTGCTGAGAACAAAATCTTATAGTTGGACACAAAATATTTTATACAATCATCTTTTGTTCTTCCATGGAGGACTTTTTGTGTTTTTAAAGAAATTATTATTCAATTTTGACAACTTTCAAACTTTTTTCAAACTCTCTTTTAATATAGATTCAGAAGGTATATCAAACAGGTCATTGATCGAGTGCATAATTCAAAGGGGGAGATTTTGAAACTAAATCCTCACAGAAATTCCTTCTGTTCCTAAGACACACTTCTTTTTCGTGCTTGACGCCCAACAAATCCTGTCTGTAAAGCCACTTAGTGCAGACAGCATAAAAATGTACCATAGCATCTGTGTTCTTTCATTGCTTCCTTTATTGACAAGGTCCCAGTGGAATAAGTGTTTGCAGCAATGTGAGTAGCAATCCATTTATGTGGCAAATGCTCATAGCCCACTGCAGTCCCCTCGGTCACCAAGGGTTCTGAAGCCACAGACCAACAAAATAATAAATATTTCCAACTGGCAACATTGTCACAGAGCACACTGTACGTAGCCTCCATCTATTTCCTTACCAAGATCTTACTTTGCTAAAGGTCTTAAATTTGATGATGCTTTCTAACGATGTGTGGCAGGGCATTAGGAGCTCAGTTCTGCTGTAAGGTTCAACGAAATCTAGTGGAAAAAAACACTTCACATTGAAAGAATATCTGTTAAGAGAGAGCACCCCTAAGCATTTTCTTTTTGATCTTGTTGCATCAAAGAAGATATATATAAATCCTGGTTGTGTTATCATTTGCAATTCCTACTTAAAAATGTTTAGATGTTTTTTATACCAATACAATCCTTTTGAGGTGATACACGTAACAATTCTATCATTTAATGATAAAACGTCTGAAAAACAAAAAAAAGAAGCAATAAAAGTCAGGACAGCTCAACGTGGAAAGAGATGTTAGTTGCTGTTAGAGCAGAACAGCTTTTTAACTCCTTTCTAAGCAAGTCATTGAAATTATTTATTTGTTCATTATTTGTTTTTGGCCTGTTTCTCCCATTTAGGACAGATCTGCTTTTGTCTGTGAAATGTAGCAATTAAAAAAATGATGCGCTGCAAAAAATAAGAGCTATTCCCAATGAGTACTAACGGAGATCTGACCTGTGGTTAAATCCTGACCCACTGCTAGAATTTCAGGTTTCCAGTGCAGACACTTCTGTTGTATCCTTGAATCCGATCCAGAGAGAATCTTGTGTTCTAAGTCAGTTTAAGGTTACTTAAAATCTAACAAGCTCTGGTCCTCTCAACTCCTTAGGCATGTGAAAAAATATAAGCTTGACCAGGCTCGGAACTATTACCTGTGATTAAACTGGAGATGATGAGTGGCAATATGAGCATTTTCAACATCCTCATGAGGATATCTCCAGGAAAAGCGATAACCATGATGATGTCTGATGGGATGGGAGAGGCAAAGCGCAGCAGGGCTCCAGCCACAGCCCCCAGAATCACACCTGGAAAAGTAAAAGACGAGCCAGAAAGTGAGAATCAAGCAACACTCACCCCTGCATGCTAAGATAAAACCACATAAGCAAGGGCCCAGGATATAAACTACAGGACAACAATTTTTATTCAAGTTTTATTTTGTTATTTCATACATTTTCATTTTTATCTGTGGGACACGAGACATTGTCATTGCCATTTGAATGAAAACGGGTCTGACTTTTAATATACTTTGAACTAAGCAATTTCTAATTAAAAACAAGGAGCTTAAATGAGATACCCAGCTGCTAAATCTGTGCAGGACAAAATGATTGTAGCTTTAATTATTTCACTGCTGATCTGTCCTTTATTCAAATAATTAAGACTGCTTTTGTATTTGGACCCTTTTTCTGTATTAACAGCTTATTGCAGAAGAATTCTGCAACTAGCCCAACAATCTGGGAACAAAATACAAAAACAATACTAAAAACACAGACTGTTAAACCCCCTTGAACTGCTTTTTCAATTATAACCCATTGGTGCTTTGTTTAAGACACAAGAAAGGGGATTCATAGCCTGGTTGAGAAACAAATTCCCTCATGTGTCCTCATGGTCTATCCTTCACAAATTTCACAGGAAAATAAAAGTTTCCTGAAGTGACCTGCTGACCGGTCACAGCAATTAAATGCACTCTCAGAATCCTTTTCTGCTTGTGCGCTACAAGAGCTTTTCATAGCAATGCAGTTGATGCTGTGTGAAGAGACAAAGTAACTGGAAGTTGGTGTATTCCCACCATGGCTGCCACATGTCTTTCAGAGACACAGTGCCCCTGAGGGACAGCTGACCCTTGTACATCTGGCTTTCGCTACAAGCCAGGTCTGAAGTCCCTCTTAGTCTGGTTGGTGTTTCTCAGGGTTGATAATGCCGGAAGCTGGTATCTCAGACAATGCCTCGCTGCTTTGAAAGCCCTCTTCCTCCATTTAAGTGGTGCCAGGGATTAAACCCTCTGAGCTGTTTAATAATTCCTTTTGTAATTAAAGCCATTTCAGCCCTGGCATCTGGATACCCAGATGAAAATTTGTTTTCATGTGCAGCAGAGCAGCGTAATATGTTTGTGCCTCTTACATAATCTCACCAGGAACAGATGATCCGCTGTTGTGGATGTGAAAATCTGAAGACACTGAAAACAGCTTCCACACTGCAGCTCGGTAGGAAAAGCTCACGGTGCTTTTTGCTCATCTTTAGTACTGTCACCTGACTGTAATACGTTAAAAGTCCCTCAAAACAATCATGTCCTTATAAATCCGGAGCAGGCCTGTCAAACCTAGTGTGAACATGTGGTTCCCTAAACAACAGCACATGATATAAACTTAAAAAAACACAAAATCAAGTAGAATATCTTTCTTGAAATTTAAACTGTTGCTCAATGACTGTCGCTCAGAAAATACAAATGGTTGTAAATGAGAGAAAGCCATTTGGCCAGTCTTGCTCTTTTAGTGACTCTAAGTTTTGTTCAGCCATTTCTTGAAAGAGACAAGAGTTTAGGCCACAAACACTGAGCTAAGAAATTTGTTTTAGACACTCAACACTCTTTGTGCAAGGAAGCAGGAAATGAGAAGGCTCCTACTCAGTCCTAAATGGATTTCTCTTTTGACCATGTGGTTTTGTTTCAACACCATATGCGATTTGGCTTGATCCTCTCTCTACTTAGGATTTTTTACACGTGAACCAAATCTCCTCTTAATTTTCTCTGTTTGGGACTGATCAGGAATCATTTGTGTTGCTCTTCTTTGAAATTTTCTAAACATCTGTGACCAAAGTTAAACAATAATCTAAATGTAGTCTTACCAGAGTGCTGTAAACCTTAAGCATAAATAACTGCTTGATTTAAACTTCACACTTTTTTTTTGTAAAAGCTCAATTATTGTTTGCTGTATTATTTCTTCTTCCCATTGGTTTAGGAACACAGAATATGAAAACCCAATTTCTATTCATGTGTAGGTTCCTGCAGCCCAGAATTAGCCAAATGTTCCTGCAAGTGATTACCACTTTGCACATATCAACACTATAAAACATCAGTGATCATGTGTCTGTCATAAACTTTTGTTTAAGTATTTTTATAATTCTCTAGCTACAGTTTCATTTTCACACTCTCCCTATTTTTGCATAATTTTGCAAATTTAATCACAGCTCAATTAGATCACAGCAAGGTTAATTGCAGCCCAATTAGAGAGTAGGTCTCCTTGGGACTTGTTCTACCAAGTTTTCCTAGGACTCCATCTGTGAGCCTACATTACCATTGAGTCTGGGAAATAACCTGATCTTATTAAAAACTTTCTGAAAATTCATGGAGTCAAATGTTTTAGTTTCATTAACTGTCCTTGTTGCTTGTTCAAATACATTTTTAATTAGCTTAATTCTAGTAAATGAAATATATATATATAAACTTTCTATACTGGTCATCAAAAGAAACTGAGCAATTTATTTAAATTAAAATATGCAGATTTTGGACACTGATTGCATGTTTGGGAGTCATTTTGAACAATTACGACAGACTAGGAAACACTCAGGTGACTTTAATAGTTAAAGCACATTAGCACTACCACAGTCCTGTGGCACCCTGACAGGAAGAAGGCTCCACAGCCAAAATGTTGTGAAATGTTGTGTTTCTTTTCTTGTCAATTTAGCAGTTATAAACCTGCGCATGCTGACAGAGCTACTGTACCTAGTTGAACTACTTCAACATATATCATTACAGGTAATCAAGTTTTTGTCAATATACAGGGGTTAATCTCTATTATTGCCATTTTGTGGGAGCCCTTCTGTATTTTTAAGACCAGCAGTTATCCAGACTGATAAAGCTGCCATGGATCTTCTATTAAATAACACAGCATTGCATCACTGAGTAACTGCAGCCACCTCACAGTCATATTGATCAATGTTTCACTCACTAGGCTTGGTGGCATCAGCTGTGACCTTCAAATCAATATTATGTACTTGCTATGTAAGGTAATTGAACAAAACCAGTTTTGTTCTGAATTCTAACACTTAATTCACAAGAGCGTTCATTCCACAGACAGATTTAAAACCCTGGTCTTAAACTCAAACCTCTCGGTGGCTAGTGGCAACTGCCTCCTTCAAATTGAACAAGAACACTTTGTCCTCATTTTAGAGAGTCAATCTGGAATGGAGACATTAGGGGTCTCTCAATATATAAATCCACCCAGCAACAGGAATTTTATCATTCAATTTTGCACATGCATAGTATAGAGCAAAACCGCAAATTCTCTGAAAAGGCGTTGCACTAAATATTTTTTATTTTGTTCACAATTACATGCTAAAAAAGGCTGATAGTCAAGTGCTTTAATAGGCTGAAATACCCAGCAGGCATGGCTGGATTACAGCATGTAAAGCTTTCTTGTGCACTTAAACACTTAAGCAATACAACAGGAGTTTCTTCCCATTCCTGTCAGTAAGCAGGTTTCTTTTGTTGCTGCCTGACTGTGTGAAACGATCACTCACCCAGCACTGTGAGAGTGAGCAGCATGTTCCTGGCCATTTTCCCACAGATGCCCCCACAGCGTGGTGGTGTGGCTTCAGGTTCAATGGGTTCAAGATGGCTCTCATGCATCCTCACCTCCACTTGCTTAGGCATGATGTTGGCACTGAGGAAAACCGAAGAGAAAGAAAGATGGTTACAGTATGTACAGTATTAGAGATCCCTTTCAAACTGTGCAATAAACTGATGCTAATATTTACTGTTCTCAACTTACAAACAGTACCCTTTTTTAAAAATAGGAGTTGGACATTTAACAGATTAACTTTTTTCAAAGCAGACAATTCTGTAAACTGAACCATTAAGGAAGCAAAAGCTGAGCGAAAGTTTCACTCAGTTTTCTGTTGCATACAAATTATTTGCCACATCTTATTGTTTCATTCTTAAAAAAATGACATGCCAAAATTTCCCAAAGAACAGATAATTTGAATATAAATAACAAAAATGCAAAAAATATAATCTAATGATCTTTATAAAGGCCCTTCTTTATTTTTAAGATTGGCACCTTGCCCCGCTCAGTAGATATTAGGAAGCACAGAATTATTTCCTATTGTGAAAGGCAATTCTAAAAAGCCAATTCTAAAAAACCCTAACATATAGATTTGCAGCTGAACACAGCCAGCAGTCACATACATTATTTTAATGCAGCAAAAGTATGTGATATACAGAAATTAAAAAGGAGCCAAGATAACTTTTTACAATGTGATATGACTGCAAAACACTAAGAGATTATAACAACAATTGAGCAGAACAGATGGAGAAGACTGCAAAGGATTTGGAACTAAGTGATGAATTATGACAGGACAACTCACACTAGACACATAGATGGATTGAAACTTAATTAACTTGGAAGGTGTAGTATAAATTCAACCAATTCAAATGGAACAGATGCTGCTGCAGGAAGAACTGCTCTGTCCTCTGGGGGCATTATTGTAAGACACTTTGACTGTAGCCTATTTTTTCCTTTGTTTTAATACAAATCATTACTTCTCTCTTTCACACACACAAAGTATTCCTTGTTAATCTTTAATGGCATGTACCTCTGAAGCCTAAAAACTTCATCGGTTTTGATCTTTCTCTTGACCAAATACACTCAAAATACACTCACACATTTTAAATGATCATTATGTTAATTTTTAAACTGGATGTCTGTTCTATCTACTTAGTTATTAAATAAATGATTTTCTCAGGAGAGCCTTTCTTCTCTTGCTCATGGAATTCCTTACCCTACATCCAAAACATACATTGTCTCAAGCCTGATCACCTTGTCAGTGTAGCAGTTTAGCAAAAGTCTCTTTCTCTTTTTTTAAGACAAAAATGTTGCAATACATGGATGACAAGAGTTTCTAAACCTTGGCTGTGTTGTGTTTGATAAATTTTCTAACATATTAACATGAACATGATTTATTTGCCCTCATTGTAATTTGAAAAATTTCTCTAAATGTGCAAGATTACACCTGGAGAATTCTAATCCTTCAACTTGTGTACTGTATATAATTGTCTTGGAAATGAACACCGAACTGGAACTAAGGGAAACACCACACAGGAACACCAGGGAACTCCCTGTAATTCATGTGGACCTTCAACTGCACCACAGAGGATGTGAGGTAATACCAAGTGGACTAATGTTAGATGTGTTTATTTTCATATATTTGATAATACTTTCTTTCTTTGAAGAGAGAGTTTCCTTCTTCATAGACCACGACTACAAGACTTCCAGGTAATCTGAATATCACCTGGTCTGAAGTGAGTGACTATTGTTCTGTATTTGTGGAAATACTGATTTTCTATTTGTTGTATCTACCACCTGAAAAAAAAAAAATGTTGTTCAGTGATGTGGAATTTCGAACAGGGGAAAGGTTCCCATTTGTTTAACATCTGCTCAGAGAGTAATTCAGTCCTGAGGAGGTTCTTTAATTGGATAAGACACAGGCTCCCTATTTTCCCTGTACAAGACATGTGCCTTAGCTGTCACTTAGAATATGTTACCATGCCTGTAAAAGGCAGAACTTCCTCTACTGTAAAGATCTATTGTAAATATTATCCTTATTATGTTTTGCCTGCTGGTTACTGTAGTGGTGAAATATATTAATCATGTTACCACTTGGTATTCCTTGACTATAGGGGTTTGTACTGTAATTAACTTATTTGCTTAAATAGCAAGTCAGGACAATTTTGATACTGAATTATGCAACTTCTTAGTGGAACAATTCAGTCTTTTCATCAAGACCTGCCATCAGCATGGGCTATATAGTTTATTCTCTGGGAAATTCAAATGATTACAAAGAAATCTTTCCTGAACTATACACGTTCTATGGTAGTTTTCTCTGAACACACCACTCGGGTGAAAGGCTTTGCCCCCGGAAGCTAATCAAACTGCAGAAAAACATATTTAGACATTCTGTATTCCTTACAACAATTAGATATATGAGTGTCAGGCTGTGGAGGAGACAACCTCCTGGTGCTAGGCGGGTCTCAAGACATCTGAAAACTCAATGCTAAGCGAGGAGGAAAGGGTGACCCAGAAATATATAGCCCCAAACAAAGACAAACCGGAAGGACAAGCAAAGCACAGGGAAACTAGGAACAGGACAGAGTAGGAGCACCCTCTAGCTGTAGAGGGCATGACAATACCCCCCCGGGAGCGAGACAAAAAAAACGTACAAAAGCACACACAACAAAAATAAACCTGGTAAACCAGGGCAACAAACCACTCGAGAAAAACTCACAACAGAAAGGAACCAAGAGTACAGGGAAACAGGGGACGGGGGGGCAGATAACACAGAAACCAAGAAGTGAGAAAACCAAACACCAAGAGTTATAAAAAAAGTAAGAACAAAAATCCTGGGAACAACAAAATAGAAAAACACCGCACACAGGGCACAAAATAAGTTCAACATTCTGTCACGGATACCGCTGAATCACCCGCTCACAGGCACGGAAGTCAGAGATGGCATCCCGCAACGAGATTAGAAGAACAGAAAAAAGCTCAACATTCTGTCACGGATGCCGAGGGCGATAACCCGAGGAAAGCCAGGTATGCATATGCGGATGTCGAGAAGGCATACAGCTGAATGACCTGCTCACAGGCACAGATATCGGAAATTGCATCCCGCAACAAGAAGGAAGAGCCAGCCCAACATTCAATCACGGACGTCGAGAGTGACAACCCCGAGGAAAGCCAGGTATTCGGAAAGGCATACCACTGATGGACCCTCTCACAGGCGTGGATGTCGGGAGTGGCATCCTGCGATTAGAATAGGAGAACTGAAAAAAAAAGGCTCAATGCGATGCGGGAAAACAAAAGGCGCCGCTCGCGGGGTCAAGGTATGGGTCAGCATTCTGTCAAAGATGTCGGAGGGGCAGGCCGTGGAATGGCCAGGAGAGCAATAAAGACCCTATGTATGGTGGCAAAATGTGGGTAATGTGGAGGAGACTAGGTGCTAGGCAGGTCTCAAGACATCCGAACCCTCAATGCTGAGCCATTGGATGCTCCATATATTTTTATACACAGTTGTTTAGAGAATTAATACACAACCAAAATTAATTATCAGTTTCTTTCTGTGTTCACAGTATAAGCTTTTCAGGCCAGGAGTGTTACAACCACTCATGGACCAGCCCAGCAGTGGATACCCTGGGTTGTTTGTGAACTGTGGTATAAAAACTAATGTTAGTTTTGAAGACCGTCAACTTCCTTTTTCTTTTAATTCAAAAAATTAATTATTATTTAACTTTCTTTTCCATATGTAAAGAACAAAAATGACTAATTGAGGAATGCTAATATTCAGGCATTACCCCAGACGACAGTCATGATTAATAAGGCTCAGGTCTGATACCATAATTAAATCGGGAGGAAGTTCTCTGACACATTGCACATTGCAATTCTGCCTTTATCTGTTAAAATTTTTTTTAGATTTAATTTCCCCCCGCAATAAGTCTGTTCGGGTAAATCCTAAAGGTGCCTATATATTGGTATCCATTTAAAGAGTGTTTGGTCTCTCCTAGACCTGAAAATTTAATTTAATATTTTGAACAAAGATTTATGACCTCTCAAAAGTCATAGCATTCCCTTCTCCTGTTTTCAAATTTAGAAACTTACAGGTAGTTCTGCATTATAGCAGGAATGCTTATTGAGGAATTACAAAAAAAAATACAAGTTTCCAGGCTCCTCTTTGTTTTTTTATTTACATTTCCATGTTGCAATGAGTGCCTAAACCACCCACTGTGGAGAGAGTCTGTCTCCACACACACTGCATAACCTTCTGGATTTCAGGGGTCAAACAAAGGGATTGGTTTCCTCTTTGTTTCATGATAAGTGCCTGTTATGTGGCACAGGTATTTAAATATTATTTACACCTTTGAATATATACAGTTTATCTGACTCTTTATAAGCTAAATGTTTGCATACAGTATTTGAGTAGAGTAGCATTACTTCGGAATAATTGTTTTTAAGTTTTCAAGGCAGCAGAGTGATGCAGTGGCTAGCATTGCTGCCTCTCAGTGCTGGGGCTCTGGGTTAAATTCCAGACCTGGAGTGCTGTCTGCGTGGAGTATGTTCTCTCCATGTACAGTACCTGTGGGCTTCCTAGCAGAGCACTGGTTTGGACACAGTGCAACTTACAGGTAGGTTAACTGGCTTCTGCAAAAATTAGCCATACGTGTGCGTGTGGACATGTCTGTGTTTGTGTCTGCGATGGACTGCTGTCTTGTCTAGGGTGTGCGCTTACTTGCCCCAGTTGCTTGACTGGACTATGACCCTGAATTGGAAGAAATGGTTAGAAAATGGATGGATGCTTTCTTACTTTAACAATCTCCTACTGAAATCAAACAAGAAAAGTGTCCTCTCACCATCAAAATGCATTCACACACTGGGGATTTCAAAGATCTGTATGAAATCAGATTGAAGTAAAAAGCTATACTTCAGTATTAAAGGGCAATTCAAAAGATTTTTACTTCAAAATGGGTCAGGAGATGACACCAGCAACTAACTGTGACATTGGAGTGCAGAGCTGTACACTATCTGGGAACATCTGCATTCAGCATAACCCTATTATAAACAATGATCCTGTTACATAATCATAAATAACTATCTAAACAGGTAAATATAACTAATCCAGGATTTTATCATTGATAGTGGAATAGTGCTCCATGTCACTGTGAAGATTGGTTTGCAGCAGCTGTGTCTGCTGGAATTATCGCTGACTTGTCACTTAATCTAAGCAGAAGCAGCAGCTAAGAATCACATGAGAAACACTCAAAGGTTGAAATAATTAAAAACACAGAGCAGGTGACTTAATATATTCCTTCAAGGGAGAGCCAATCCAAAACAAAGCTTTCTCATTGTAAGAGCTTAATTTTCTAACCTGATTTCAGATAAAAAAAAACATTTGTCAGTTTTACAGGGAATTAACTAATCACACCTTCAGTTTGGGAAAAAAAAAATTGTCAGGGCTGCCAACATCTTTAGATGTTACATCAGCCTATATATACTCTGACATATTTAGCTCTGAAAATGAATATTACCAGAATATTCTCTAGACATACTGTAATTCCTCCACAAGTAATTTAGTATTTATTTCTTGAGAATGCTCTGTATTGAAAGGCATTATAGACCAATATCATCTGAATAAAAACTCTATCAGTTGTCAAAGTAACTTAATTCATAAATAATGCCACTTGAATAGGACAAATAAAAAAAATTTAATTGTCAACACTCACTTGCTTTATCTCCATTGTCTGAACATTACCTTTTGTCATTATTACTTCTACCTACTGTCTGAGAGAGCAGCAACACTCTGATTGTGAGTTCATTGCTGTTGTTATAAACCAGAGAGTAACTATAACAGTAATTAATGCCCTCTGTTGTAACACATAAAACGCAAAAAAATAGACAATATGCTGCACAAGGGAAAAAAAACTTCAATTTCTTAATGGACATCTATTCACGAGGCAATAATTATTTACCTAAATGACTTTTGTGCTCAACTGTCAAGCAGCTGAAATCTTTAGAAGTGGAGTCTAGCCTTCACTTTACATGCTGAACACTAACCAATTTGATGTTGACACATACTGTAGGCTATGAAACTTAACGTCTGTGATTTTGCAGTACTGCAATACAACTGTGAGATGCATGATATGAAAATCTATTTCGTGACATAACCCAGCCTATTAAAATGTAAGAAAAAGCTAAAGCAATTGCACTAATTAAAAGCCTTTTTCTTTTTGAAAATCTACATGTTAGGAAATAATAGTGAGGGCCCTATGCAAAAAAACAGGGCGATCTCCAGAGGTGTAGTTGATATAACAATCCGAGGTCTGGAAGTTGAAGGTAAACAAGCTGGTGCAAAAGTAGAAAAAACAGAAGCACAGCAGTGAGGAAGCCAAGAGTCAAAACCAGAACAAGAACCAAAGTACCAAAACATAAACCAGGAGACGTAGTCGGAGAACAAACCGGGGTCAAGAAGCCAAAAACCAAGTAGTAAGTTATGGCAAAAACTGAAGCCAGGAAAAACCCTAATTACTGAGCACAGGGGAGAGTGTGAAGCAGCATGAAATAGGCTGGGGTAAATGGACTAATTTGGAACTGTGCTGGAATGCGAGGTGGAATAACGAGTCCTCCGGGGGTGTGGCATAACACTACAGAAGAGCAAATTCTGAACTCTGAGCAAATATGGAATATGGAAAATTCTGAAAGGCTGCCTGGTAGTGGTTGTGGCTTATTGCTCTCAGAAGAAATGTTTTTTTTTTTTTAAATAAAGGCTGTTTTCTTGTAGCACTGGCACCTCAGTTTATTAATTCACTCTGAAGTTAATGTATATTAATGTTAAAGTAGACTTGATCATTTCTCACCTCCATTCCTCTCCTAACATATCAAAAAGTCTACTCTCCCATAGTTTGTCCAGCTTATTCAAACCATCAACCTTTGCTCTTATTCATTACCAAACAAAATAGTTCTTCCTCAGCCTTCCTAAGACTATATTTGGATAAAGTGATATTCAAACCATCCATCAAAATAAAAGAGGTATCATCCCAGACCTATCACGGAAGCCAGAGGCTAGCTGTGGAGAGACTGGCAGAACAGGAAGACCCTATGCGAAGCGGCAGGAACAGCGCAAACACGGGACTCACTCCAGCTCAAGGTAATGGGCGGAGTCGGGGATGAGGCATAAGCCCTCAGGTAGCGGACGTGGGGGGACCTGGTGAGGCGAGCTTCTCAACAACCGATCCCGGTTGACAACAAGACACACCGGAAGAACAAGTAAAGCACAGGGAAACTAGGAACAGGACAGAGAAGGAGCGCCCTCTAGATGTATAGTACCCCCCCCCCCCCTTCAAGGGCGGCTCCTGAGGCCCAAAAATGTAAATGAGCTGCACAGCACTGGGGGAAGGAAAAACCTAATTTAACTGAAAGGAAACCTCCGGGATTCCACAGCTGAAAGCTACCCCCTCCTCCAGGATAAAAACCTTTATTGAGTAGAGGAAGGGTGGGCCGTGCAGGGCTCTGGGGGAGCGAGACAAAAACCAGACAAAACATGTAAAAAAGCATGAACAACAAAAATAAACCCTGACAGAACAGGGGAACAAACAACACGTAAAAATAACTCACAACAGGTAAAAATTAAACCTTATATACAATTAGCATTTTACGTACTGAAGTTGGAGATCAATTCATAAGAGGTAATTTCCCATTGACAATAAAGTACTGTCAAATTACCACCATCTGACAGGGCCAATGCTGATGAGATTTTGCAACACAAATTAGTTGAAATCAGCACTTCAGGCAGAACCACTAATGGTGTTGCACAACAAAGGACTCTCAGGAAATGTCAAAGTGTCATTAGGAGGTACTGTAGGATTAGTGAGCTGTTCAGCTAGGATTACAGGGCCCCTGAGGTCAGGACTACTGGGGGTCAGTTCTGAGGTTAATTCCCGGTCCATGGAATTGCAGGGCCCAGGCTAGGACCAGGTTCTGTGCTCTCAAGTTAGCCCCTTGTACTGATCCTCTTTAATTCAGACATTGTGTGTCATTAAGGTGTCTTGATTAATCAAGAAGCATGGAAATGGAACATTTTAAACACACAGAGAAAATGTACTGTATAGTGACAGACATGTCTTGGGGTTTATTAGGAGACATGCGGGTCTTTGATAGAGCTTTAAATCAGTGGTGCTCCAGGACTGGAGGGCCAGAAGGCTCTGGTTCCCTTCACCTGAACCCCTAATTACCAAATCATCAGTATGAAGCCTTTTCTTGTTCTATAGAAGCTGGAGAGTTAACAATAATAAAATCTGCTGGACAGTAGCCCTAGAGGTTCAGAATTGGGCTCTCCCACTTTAACATGTGAACCTGACTGTGTGTCTTATATACAATGATTCATAAACATACACATTTGGTACTGGGATCTGATGGCTTGGGTTCTATGAACCCTGCTAACACAAAACCTTGGATCTTTATACAATGAAAATCACAGAGGCAACCTGTAGATCCTGCACAGGACTGCTATTTTCCCTCCTAGAATATTTTCTCAGAAAACCTGCATACTGTAACACAACGGGGGCTCAGGCGGGCGCCCTTGCCGCATTAGGTCGGCCCCTTCACCGTCCGGGGCTCGAACCCGGGACTTCCGCGTCTCTCTGCAGCGACCTAGCCCCGTGAGCTAAAGAGAGATCTCTCTACAGCCCAGTAGCTGTGGTCCTGCTATCACAGGGAAGGGCGGTGACGTCACCCGCTCTGGTACGCCGGCTCTTACTGACTGACTAGCAAAATCATGTTTAGATACTCCCTTTTTACTTTTCTTAAAAAAAAACTATCTACACCAAAAAAACAGCTTCCCAATAAATATTCCAAATTTAGTGTAATCAAGTCTTCTAATATCCAGAACATTCATACCAGCTCTGGGAAAACAAGACTGTGTATCCACCCTCTGAATCGTGTGCTGGCAGGCCATCCGTGTCGCTAAAAAATAATGACAACGGTCAACTCCAGAGGCTCTAATGGAATGGCTGCTCTTACATACTTTCATAACATATGGCTGCATCAGGAATAGCAGTAATATCTGTAGCTATTATAGCCAGAATCATAATATAAGTTTATTTAAATAATGTATTTGGCTGGCGATAACTAAGATAGGCACCATTATTTTACTCTATATGCTTATAAGGCAGGATAATTATAGGTAATAAAATGTAATACTCCATTTTATGCTAAGTTCTAAAGAGGTCACTTTCATTCCCTAAACATCATGGTATTCACATATATAGACCAAAGATGAATTGTTATGCAGGACATGCTGGGTGGACGTTGATGCTACAGGCAACACAGGCAGGAGAATGATCTGAGGTCAACAGACACAAGACAATGCTGTTTCTATATCCAGCTTTAGGTGACATTTCTCTTACACTCAAAGGTCAGGGAGCACAAAAGTTCAAAGCACACTTTAATGTCACCTACATTAACATCACATCTACAGTACATTAAAACTGAACCCTAATGTAATTAAAAGCATCTTGAGGCACTTTTAGTCACATAAAGCTTGAAAAAAAACAGCTAGAACAAATAATCAGCCAACATTTTTCTGAATAATAATGACAAGGACCAAAGAAGAATTTTTACTTTTACATTGCTCTGTTACTGTAGTAGCTATAATTTGATGACAAACCTAGCACACACCATGCTCAAATTACACCAGAGGCAAAATAAATGTTGTTTGATTAATGTAATAAATATACTGTGCGTGCATACAGTACAGTATCTCTTTATCTACAGTGTATAGAACATGCAGTGCACATCTTTAAAGTGACTGAACAACACATTTTCACTACATGGAAATCTTTCGCATTATCTGAAATAATCGAACCGTTAAAGTCTGAATTACTGCAATTATTTTCACATGAAAGCTTGAGGCCCCAAAAACTAGAGCTCTACTTATGATCAAAATATTTAAACAAAATTACACATTGCTTATTGCTTCCTGCATGTGAATCTGAGCACAAACAAAACATCCACTTTTGAAAACAAAATGTAAAAGAAAACCCTCTGGAACTGCACTCACCACAGCCTTCCAGTGAAGGTTACGGTAACAGGGTTACACTCCAGCCGTGAGCTGTAAGGAGCTGGGGGAGACTAGGAAGATCACAGTTTAATTGGTTTATCCATCTGCTATTTTAGACGGGATCCTCGAAAGATTTGGCTACAGTGCACATGTGCAGTGGATTGCTAGAGAAGCAACGCAGACTAGCCGAAGTGTTTTTAAGTGCTACCTTTTTATCTAGAGAATTTAGCCCAGCCAGGGGCACACAGAAGAATACTTTCTGAGCAAGCTGTCCAGAATATGCAATGTGCTAGAACAGCAAAGCATCTTGGTCATTGAGTTTTGCAACAGGCACACACACAGGGAGAATGATAGAAGACAGTGTAAGCGGCCAGCAAAAATCCCTACTTTGTTTTCCTTTTAATCCCTCCATTTAAAAAAGCATGCTTTAAACTGCATTTGGGCTGTACGAAAAAAGCCCAGTGAGAGACATTGGATGAGAGGAGCAAACAGCCTGGCTTACAGTCACATAAGCCTGCTCTCGCAATAAGTTAGGAGGTACTGTACATAAGGTTATTTCAGGTTGGTAAACAATTTAAGGTGGCTTGGTCTCGCGATAAAAGAAAAAAATACTAGGAAAAGTCAGCGGTCAACAAGAAACATTCATTCTCTCAGAGACAGTTAGCTTGTGCATTTTTCAAGAGACTATTACAAGTAACATGGATTTTCTTATTTCATATCTTACTGTACTTGTACATACTTGTATGTACTTTAGACATTGCAAACCCTTTGTAACGTTGCGACATCATGGTACAGGGCTTTAGCCTCTCACAACACCACACTTGGTTACAGGTGTATACTGTTCGAGATACTCGGGGTGTGACAGGCATCTACTCTCATACTGTACAGTATGCGTTGTCCCGGGACAGACAACATTTAGATACACAGTATATGACTCATGAGATATAAGATGTAATTAATGTGACTCTGCCATTGAGAGACAAACACCACTTTTTTTTTTTAATACAGCCTACTGGTTTGTGCTTTATGACTAAACTACACTAGTATGCCAATTAGTTAATTAGTCCCACAGTTACAACACACCAAGATGCACAACCTTGCCAATGGGAACATATTAAAAACTTTCTCAATTACAACAAACTCCTGCTGACAAATGCCAGGAAGATTTGTTTCTCCTCAGTTAATTATTTCAAAAATTTCTACAAGTTGATATGCAGCTGTTAATGATTCTACATAAATTAAAACCGCTGCTCTACTCCAAAGCTTCTTTACTCCAAAGCTTCTTTCTATCCTTAATTCTTTAAACTGATATGGTTTTACTTGAGCGCTTGAGAACAACAGGCCTGACCATCACTTTCTACAATTACTACCTTTTACAAAAACAGCAGTTCAAAAGCTCAGTATGTATATTTTCAATGCTTAACACGTGAACATTAATTATTACCATTTATTTGGCTAATGATTTTATCCAAAAAGATTTAGCTGTACTAATTTATACAGCTGAGTATTTTACTGAAGCAATCTGAGTTAAGTGCCAAAAGCCTCAACACTGCTCTGCCTAGCTGTATAAATGGGTATAAGCCACTTTGGATAAAAACATCCAAACAAATAAAGTAATATAACATTATCCCTACTGGAGACCTTTATAGTCAATATATGTACAGTATAATGATTCCATGATAATTCTTCCATGAGGTAATCAAATAAAAAGATATGAAAAAAGATATCAAATAAGTTTTCACAGAGTAAAAGTCTGAGGTTTAGTGATGTTCTTCCAAATGTTTAAGATAAACACATTCTGAAAGTAGTTGCAATGTAACAAGTAGTTTTTAAAAATAGACCAATTACATTGAAATTAATCTGAATTAATGTTTACACATTTATTAAAATTTAAATACAGAACCCAGTACATTACAGCCTCATTTTAACATGAATAAATAGTCAGTGTGCCTAAAAACTGTGTCTACCATTACATCACTAAAGTATTAACACTGCTAGCAATAGTCCTTCTATAAGAAGATCACAAGCATCTTTTATTGAACTCTTTTAATTGGGCACAATGTTGCTGTTAAATGTACAGTATATCCTTGCAATCCAGCTCTTCGTTTGAGGTTTCCACATATGTGACTAAATTAGAATTAGACTAGACATGTCTCCATTTATCCAAGTGTGTATAATAAGCCATGATGTATAATTGGTAACTACGTTGTTAGGCAAATACAGTACCAATATTTCTTTATATTTCTCCTCAGTGTGGAAGGCTCTATGGTTAAGAGCCCCAGACAGTCAAAAACAGCCTCTTAAAGGGCCACCCTCCTCTCGGTGTTGTTGGCTGTTGTGAAGCCCCGGTCCACTTCTCCATTTCCTCTAAGAGCTCTTTGTGCTGCAAAGAGCAGCTCTGTATCCACTGCTGCCCAGCCAGCTCTGCCTCCAGTCTTGGCAGGACCAAGGAGCTCTGTGTGCCCAGACATTCAAGCGCAATGACCCTCAGAGGTGCCAGTGATGTCATGCCTGCCCACCGTGAGAGAGGGGCTCAGGGTGCTCTCCACACTCTTTCCGGCCACCTCAGGGATGAATAAACCTTTCAGATGATAGCCCATTGTGCTTCATCATTGAGCTGGATTATACCAATTTTATGCTCAGGGATGGCTGTGCAGCAGCTTTGAGAAGGTTGGAGTGCAGTGGGAGCTCAAGGGGGTTGTCGTAGCAACACGGCATCTTACTGAAGAGCAGAAGGAACACAGGAAGGGTTTAGACTGACTGACACTGCAGAATCCATCTCAGGGGAATGCACATGAAGGGGAAAAGAGGAAACCTTTAGTTGCAAACATGAAAAGCGTGTTGGACATCAGAGCTGAGTAAAGATGGCAGTGTCTGACACCGAGTGCAATGCACTTCTTTTCAGACTGTAGGACTTCCGCATTTGCAGAGGTACATTGCAAGGCAAAGAATTAATGAATTTCTTATAAAAGATGAAAGTATGAATAATATCCGTATATTCAGTACAGGTGTGTTCAGTACTCATAATATTGCAGCTACGTTCAGTGGTGTCTGTTCTGGGAGGCTATAAACTCTTTCAGCCACAAAAGACATCATGTCAGTAGACTCCTCTGGAATAAAAGAGCTGTCACTTCTCCACTCAGAATAGGAGACGCAGACAAAAAGTGAAAAGCACTTGAAACTCTTCTAAATACTTCATCAGATTCTTTTAGCAGCTATACAGATTGCACAAAACTCTTCCAGGTTAAGTTTTATACTACAAAGACACAGGGCAACCCATTCTGATAAAGAATTTCTCATGAATGAAAGCCACTGTTTTTCATGAATTAATTAACTGAGACAGATTCTGGGTTTCAAAGCCTATTAACATCTGATCGCAGTGGAATGCCTGACCTGTCCCTAAGTGATGGGGAGGTATGGGACCAGATGGAAATCGTTCTGAGCTCCATTTACAGCCAGGGTGCAATGGTGAAAGACTCTGAGGTGTCTTTAAAGGACAAACCTTTTTGTATAAATAATGACATTGTCCCATGGAATATGAATTTCGATTGATTAATTCAAAACATTTTATCTTAACTGGGTGAAGAACAAAAGATTTATACTGAACTTTCCCAGACCGCATCAATATTTCAGGAAAGTCATATTCCTAATATTTAAGTGAAGATACAGTAATAAGAACACAAAAACAATGCCTGTAGCTTGTCATTCAAACGTAAGAAGTAAATGGAGTGAAAACTTAAAATGGTCAAAGTCACGTTTGTGATTGTTTTTAATATCATATTTTAACCATAGATGTGAAGCTCAGCTTTGGGTATAACAGCCACTGAATATGGCAAGTCAGCATTTTCAGTTAATCATAGGCTTCTAGAGTACAATACCATCTAGAATTCGACAATTATTCATA